ACGAGGCCAAAACATCAGATTCAGGAACTCATGTCGGACAGCAGTTCAGAACGTTTTAATGTTTTATCAGCGGCCTTTCTTTCTCTACTTTTGTACTGAAACGTGTTTCCCATCACGCAGACGTTCAGATCTTCTGGTCAACGATCGTAAAACCAATGATTGTAAACTTAGAACCTGGACTTCTACTGACAAATAAAGCGTGCAATATTAGCCTACACCCGTTTGGTTTGACACTGTAAATACAATTTAATTTGATATAAACAACTTGTCATCACATTAAGACCAAAGACTAATCAGCATCTTGTTTTCAGATATTGACCTCGAGGCTTTCGCGAGAAAAACCATCAAAAAACTAAAATCACGACTTTTTTCAACTCTTTTTGTTTACGGTTAAGCACAGCTAACAATTCATTGATTAATATTAAAGACATTAAAATAACATTTGCACCCGATAACAACAGCTCCTTGCCTCCTTCCCCAAATCTAGGGTTAGCATCTAGAAACTACCATCAATGTGCGCCGCTGTGCGCTACAAAGAATGACCATCATTTACGTAGCCTACGAACTCGGGTTTAGACACATTTTTGTGACAGACAACAGAGTGGTTCAGGAATGAGTCCTAAAACCTAGCATTGGGAATGTTAGCGCCTCTTGTTCCCTGGGCTTTAAGTCAATGGCTTTTCTGGATGTGTTTTTGGTTGTGAGACTGAAATAAGAGATTTTAACGTAACGGCGGTTGCTAACAAGAGTCTAAACGTCATCAAGCCCAACGTAGCCACCTTTAGCTTAGCGGTGGATAAGTGAATATATATATATATAGAAAATACATCATCCCAGCACGACTACTTCTCAAAACTGTCGTGAAGTTTTCAAGGCGTTATGTCGACTTTAACATCTAGAATTAAACATTAGAAACCACAAATCTAGTGGCTAATCTGCACGTTTGAAAAGATAAATGGGCGGACACAAAGGGGGCGGAGCTCTAACTGACTGACACCTTCCATTGAAACACAATCTAACCAATCATCAAGCACAAAAAACCAAATCAATGACTTTCTGGCTGTTTTTTTTGTTTGTTTTTTACAAACGGCTGCTTTTCAAACCCTCTTTTTTATGACGACCTCAACTCCTTTCCGTGGCGCTGTTTGAAAACAGGATGGGGGCAGAATATATATCACGACAAAGGGTTAGGGTCTAACATCTGCTTATTGAACCCCCCCCACCTGAAACTCAGAGTGTTTTATAACAGAGGGAAAAGAGCAGATTTGCTTGCAGACACTTTCACCCCTTCTTACTTTATTTTTGATGACGATAAACAGGTGTTTTTGAGACAGGTGACCTATCACGAGACTCCAAATCACTCCGTATCATATCCCGTCTGTAATTCCTGTAACTACTGTGTTTTGATTACATTTGAAATAATAAACAATGTTGTTCAAATCAGAAATCACTCGAGCATCACTTGGCTCTGTTCTGCACGACACCATTTCATGCATGCATTCGAACGCCGTTCTGCATTATTTACCTGCTGTAAGTAAGATCAAAAGCATGCCTTTAAATCAGATCAGGACAGATTGTTCCCCACAGCTTCCTGCAGACACTTTGCTTTTGAAACAGCGTCCTTTTAGACTTTAAATCATCTCAAAGAGAGCGAGACAGAGATGCATGTTTGCAGATAGCAGAGCTGCTTCCCTGCAGATTGAGGAGATAACAACACGACAACAGAGAGGAGCGAAAGAGGGAATATTATCGACCGTTTAGATTTAGAAGCATGAAAAGATATAGTGTGTGTGTGTGTGTGTGTGTGTGTGTGGTGTGTGTGGCCTAGCATTACTATCCTGTGGGGGACCTACATCTGTTTACACAGTCACGTGTGGGGACTCGCCTCCCTTATGGGGACAAAATGGAGGTCCCCATGAGGGGAATCATTAATTTTAGGGTGAAGACTTGGTTAGGATTAGGGTTAGGCATGTGTTGGTTATGGTTAAGGTTTGGATAAGTCTCCAGGAAATGCATGTAAGTCAATGTAATGTCCCCTGATGTGTGTGTGTATAAATAGCTCCCATATCAACTTATTGAATATATTAAATATATATATTGTATATGATATTAATATATTGCTGCTGTAAACCATAGACTGTAAACAGGTATATGAAGGTGTAAACATGTCCATCACCTGAGAGCTGAGGCTCTGCTGCCATCTAGTGTCGACTCAGAGTAACTGCTCTTCATAAAGGAGCTCATAGTCCATTCATCAATTAGCAGGGAACTGTTTTAAAGGTTTATTAATCATTTAAAGCTTAATATTCCCTAGTTCCCAATTATGCTTTAATTGTTGGCTAATTAAAATAATTTGAATAAAATATATATTTTTATAAACTGGTGACGATTTAAAATACATAAAAATGACTGTTTAAAAAAATACATTTAAAAATGAAAAATAATATATATTTATATTGTTGGTGATTTAAAATATAATAATTAATAAAACATTTAAAATATATTGCTTTACTGTTGGTTAATTAAAAAACACTAAAATAATAATTACAATATTAATACAAATTAAATGCATTTTTAAAAACTAAATTACTAAGAAACTAATGGATAATAAAGAACACGTTAAGCTTTATATGTGTGTGTTAGTGCAGGTGTTTAAAACCCCCCGTTGAAGGAAGAGTCGTCACTTATTCAACGAACAGGAACCAACAGTTTGGTCAAAAAACACATTTATTTGGACCGAAAAGAAGAACGTTTCACAACACAGTGCATTTCTAACGAGCAGATCTACTGGAACACATCAGCTGCTCTGACCCCTTTCAAACAATGCAGAGACATCAGTGAGGAGCAGCCCTCTGACTCGTGTGTGTGTGTGTCACAGTTTTCACAGCATTCCTACGATAACGTTCAGTCAGTTTTAAAGAGTTCATGCTTTAATGTTCAAAAAGCTCTTTTATTTTCCTCATACTGACTGTTTTCACCCTCTGTCTGAAACCCAGAGCCCTTTACATGCATTAAAAGCAAGAATAATGCCTCTGTAGATCCTGGGTTTCAGGAGCTTATCGCATTTCAAAGATACGTCAGCGACAAAGGGTTGGATTTAATGGTGAGAGACATTTCAAACCAGGACCTGATGACACCACGTTAACTAAAGCTACACTAGAACACATACAGAGTTCAATCAACAGTTCAATTGGTTTTTGGGCCGCTCAAACGAATCACCAGATGTTCATGAACGAGTGTGTGTGTAGAGCGCCAACATGAGGTGATGAGAGTGAGGAGTGTGTCCACAGCAGCTCAGTGTCTGCATAGCCTCTTACATCACCCGCCATTGTATTACCCTTTTATCCCCAAAGAGTTTCTGTCAAATAAAAGTAGTTAGGATGAGGCTGCTTCCAACTTCAAATCAGTTTTCAGATTAATTCATGGATCATTTGGTCGATCAAATGTAATTGAAATGCAAAACATAATCATTCATCTGTATTAAAGCCACCATGGACCTCTGGACATTTCTCATCTTGTCAAATTAGGAACAAAAACTCAAACATATTTAGTTTTTAACACAAAATCCTGCAACAATAGATAAATGTAGAAGCTTCAATAAGTCATTTGTCCCTTTTAACATTAAAAGTCTAATCAAACCCCTCCCTCTGCTCCCTCACAGCTACGAACAGGCTACAGATGCATTTAAGTCATAATAATAATCAATAAGCGGCTTCAGAGGCACGAGAAAAGCATTTAAGGTTTGGTCACAACAAACAGGAATCAGTTACAGAACATATCACATTATTGACTTTAGTAACAGTCGAGTAGTGCACGTTGAAGGATGCACGTTGAAGGATGCACGTTGAAGGATGCACGTTGAAGGATGCACGTTGAAGGATGCAGTCTGAAGGATGCAGTCTGAAGGATGCAGTCTGAAGGATGCACGTTGAAGGATGCAGTCTGAAGGATGCAGTCTGAAGGATGCACGTTGAAGGATGCAGTCTGAAGGATGCACGTTGAAGGATGCAGTCTGAAGGATGCACGTTGAAGGATGCAGTCTGAAGGATGCACGTTGAAGGATGCAGTCTGAAGGATGCACGTTGAAGGATGCACGTTGAAGGATGCAGTCTGAAGGATGCACGTTGAAGGATGCACGTTGAAGGATGCAGTCTGAAGGATGCAGTCTGAAGGATGCAGTCTGAAGGATGCACGTTGAAGGATGCACCTTGAAGGATGCAGTCTGAAGGATGCACGTTGAAGGATGCAGTCTGAAGGATGCACGTTGAAGGATGCAGTCTGAAGGATGCACGTCTGAAGGATGCACGTTGAAGGATGCAGTCTGAAGGATGCACGTTGAAGGATGCAGTCTGAAGGATGCACGTTGAAGGATGCAGTCTGAAGGATGCACGTTGAAGGATGCAGTCTGAAGGATGCACGTTGAAGGATGCAGTCTGAGGGATGCAGTCTGAAGGATGCACCTTGAAGGATGCAGTCTGAAGGATGCACGTTGAAGGATGCAGTCTGAAGGATGCACGTTGAAGGATGCAGTCTGAATAGCACCCTCTTTAGGAGAGCATGAAACAAAAGGCCTCGTCGTCACGGCGAAGAACAACAAACGGATAAACAGTCAAATGTTTGAAAGATAATTAAAACCGTCTCCACTCTTTTCCCTCCAATCAGAAGCAGCTTCAGAGCGTCAGAGCGATCCGATTGGTCCGCCATCGGAGGGAGACGTTAATCTGGAACAGACAGAGGGGTATTAATACAGATCTAGAGAGGACACATTATTAAACATGTAGTGTCTCCACTGGGACATGATGTCTCTACTGGGACATGATGTCTCCACTGGGACCACTGGGACATGATGTCTCCACTGGGACATGATGTCTCTACTGGGACATGATGTCTCCACTGGGACATGATGTCTCCACTGGGACATGATGTCTCTACTGGGACATGATGTCTCCACTGGGACATGATGTCTCCACTGGGACATGATGTCTCTACTGGGACATGATGTCTCTACTGGGACCACTGGGACATGATGTCTCCACTGGGACATGATGTCTCTACTGGGACATGATGTCTCTACTGGGACCACTGGGACATGATGTCTCCACTGGGACATGATGTCTCCACTGGGACATGATGTCTCTACTGGGACATGATGTCTCCACTGGGACATGATGTCTCTACTGGGACATGATGTCTCCACTGGGACATCATGTCTCCACTGGGACATGATGTCTCCACTGGGACATGATGTCTCTACTGGGACATGATGGTCTCTACTGGGACATGATTCTCCTACTGGGACATGATGTCTCCACTGGGACATGATGTCTCCACTGGGACATGATGTCTCTACTGGGACATGATGTCTTCTACTGGGACCACTGGGACATGATGTCTCCACTGGGACATGATGTCTCACTGGACATGATGTCTCCACTGGGACATGATGTCTACTACTGGGACATGATGTCTCCACTGGGACATCATGTCTCCACTGGGACATGATGTCTCCACTGGGACATGAGGTTCTCTACTGGGACAGATGTCTCTCACTGGGACATGATGTCTCCACTGGGGACATGATGTCTCCACTGGGACATGATGTCTCTACTGGGACATGATGGTCTCCACTGGGACATGATGTCTCCACTGGGACAGTGATGTCCTTACTGGGACATGATGTCTCCACTGGGCATCATGTCTCTACTGGGACATCATGTCTCCACTGGGACATGATGTCTCCACTGGGACATGATGTCTCTACTGGGACATGATGTCTCCACTGGGACATGATGTCTCCACTGGGACATGATGTCTCTACTGGGACATGATGTCTCTACTGGGACATGATGTCTCTACTGGGACATGTCCCAGTGGAGACATGATGTCTCCACTGGGACATGATGTCTCTACTGGGACATGATGTCTCTACTGGGACATGATGTCTCTACTGGGACATGATGTCTCTACTGGGACATGATGTCTCTACTGGGACATGTCCCAGTGGAGACATGATGTCTCTACTGGGACATGATGTCTCCACTGGGACATGATGTCTCTACTGGGACATGATGTCTCCACTGGGACATGATGTCTCCACTGGGACATGATGTCTCTACTGGGACATGATGTCTCTACTGGGACATGATGTCTCTACTGGGACATGATGTCTCCACTGGGACATGATGTCTCTACTGGGACATGATGTCTCCACTGGGACATGATGTCTCCACTGGGACATGATGTCTCCACTGGGACATGATGTCAGTCACATTTAGAGACAAAGAAACGCATTTTCTGACAGTTTTAAATTAAGCATTTATCAAAACAGTAGATAATAATTCTGTGGATCCTCTAATTGTTTCGCACGGGGATTTGAGCCTCTGCAGACCATTGACATGCACTACCCCACAGGAGAGGGAGCACTCAGGCGTGACGTAGCACTTTTACTCAGTTGGGTTCAATGTTTATATTGTTTCTGCTAAAGGTAGGAATCCCTACATGGGTCTAAAAGGGTTCTGATGTCTCCTTCAAAGTGTGCTCAGTGAGCCAATGGAAGGAGACAGGAAGGATGTGCACTCACTGGCCAGCGGCTCCACCTCCAGGGTTTTGGACAGACTCAGCGATGAGCTCTGCTTGGGTCTCGCTCCCAGCTCTCTTCCCTCTCTGTTCTGGTTCTGGTTCTGGTTCTCCTCCTCCTTCACCTCCTCCTTCACCTCCTCCTCCTCCACATGGTAGAACCCCCCCTCCTCCGCCACCATCTTCTCCACCCTCTCCAGCAGCCTCCCCACCTGAGGGTGCTCTCCGAACTCACAGTTATTGATCACAAAGTACCTCCGGTGGCACTTCTCCAGGACCCACTGCAGGTCCTTGCCCTCCCTGCGGATGTACCTCTCGATGGAGATGCTCCTCAGGACCTCGGCCCAGGTGAACACCACCACGGTGTGCCTCCACACGCGCTCTCCGAACAGGCTCACGTGCTCCTCGATGCGCTGGCGGTCCACTTCGGTGAACATGCCGACGGGGATGGCGAGCAGGAAGGCGTGAGGGCCGGGGGGGCAGAGAGACGCTCCTCTCACCAGCTCCTGCTTGTAGGAAGGAGGCGTGTCCTGAGCAGAGAACCATCCGGGAGTATCCACCACCGTCACCTGCCGCTCCAACACCTGCGGAGTCACCTGGGGTCACTTCACATTCTCACTGGAAGCATCTGCACTTCAGTGGCAGGAGAAACACTCAGGTCTTGTACTTGAGTAAAAGTAGAAGTACTCAGACCTTGTTCTTGAGTAAAAGTATCTCCAACATGAATTGGACAAGATGATGCATTGTCTAAAAACAAGAGCCGGTATCTCACGGTCTCTTATATCAGGAGGAGAGACGCATTCTGATTGGATGAGACACAATCTGAGTGGAGGTCCCTTCTGACTGGCACTGTATAATAACTCTATAATCTACCAGGTGTTGGAGACACGCATTCAGACGAGCTGCACCTTCACCAGCTCTGAGAACACTTCCATGATCAATCATTAGAAAACATATATATATATTATTCTGAGATGGACCAATCAAACAACGAATACTTTTACTGTCTTTCACTATATTTAGATGAGAATACTTTTATACTTTCACTTGAGGAACATTTTGAATGCAGGACTTTTACTGTAACAGAGTATTCCTACACTCTGGTACTTCTACTTTTACTCAAGTACAAGATCTGAGTACTTCTACTTTTACTCAAGTACCAGATCTGAGTACTTCTACTTTTACTCAAGTACAAGATCAGAGTACTTCTACTTTTACTCAAGTACCAGATCTGAGTACCTCTACTTTTACTCAAGTACAAGATCTGAGTACTTCTACTTTTACTCAAGTACAAGATCTGAGTACTTCTACTTTTACTCAAGTACAAGATCTTAGTACTTCTACTTTTACTCAAGTACAAGATCAGAGTACTTCTACTTTTACTCAAGTACAAGATCTGAGTACTTCTACTTTTACTCAAGTACCAGATCTGAGTACTTCTACTTTTACTCAAGTACAAGATCAGAGTACTTCTACTTTTACTCAAGTACAAGATCTGAGTACTTCTACTTTTACTAAGTACCAGATCTGAGTACTTCTACTTTTACTCAAGTACAAGATCAGAATACTTCTACTTTTACTCAAGTACAAGATCTGAGTACTTCTATTTTTACTCAAGTACAAGATCAGAGTACTTCTACTTTTACTCAAGTACAACGTCTGAGTACTTCTACTTTTACTCAAGTACAAGATCAGAGTACTTCTACTTTTACTCAAGTACAAGGTCTGAGTACTTCTACTTTTACTCAAGTACAAGGTCTTAGTACTTCTACTTTTACTCAAGTACAAGGTCTGAGTACTTCTACTTTTACTCAAGTACAACGTCTGAGTACTTCTACTTTTACTCAAGTACAAGGTCTAAGTACTTATTTTACTCAAGTACAACGTCTGAGTACTTCTACTTTTACTCAAGTACAAGATCTGAGTACTTCTACTTTTACTCAAGTACAAGATCTGAGTACTTCTACTTTTACTCAAGTACAAGATCTGAGTACTTCTACTTTTACTCAAGAACAAGATCTGAGTACTTCTACTTTTACTCAAGTACAAGATCTGAGTACTTCTACTTTTACTCAAGTACAAGACCTGAGTACTTCTACTTTTACTCAAGTACAAGATCTGAGTACTTCTACTTTACTCAAGTACAAGATCTGAGTACTTCTACTTTTACTCAAGTACAAGACCTGAGTACTTCTACTTTTACTCAAGTACAAGATCTGAGTACTTCTACTGTTACTCAAGAACAAGATCTGAGTACTTCTACTTTTACTCAAGTACAAGATCTGAGTACTTCTACTTTTACTCAAGTACAAGATCTGAGTACTTCTACTTTTACTCAAGTACAAGACCTGAGTACTTCTCCTTGTACTCAGACCTGACTGCAGGTATCAGTACCTCCGTCTCTCTCTTCACGCAGAACTCGGCGGCTCGCTCCAGGTGAAACTCCTCCTTCCCCAGGATGGTGTTTCCTGTCAGGCTTTTCCCCGGCCACCTCCACCCGAGGACCACCAGACGGAGCTCCGGCAGACGAGCCGGCGTCGTCACCACTGCCTGTGGGGACTTCTCCTCTGATCCAGGAGCATCTGTGGAGACATCAGATCAGATGGACTGAAGGCTGGGTTACAGCAGCGTGATGATGACACTGTGCCACAACGAGCAGAGCTAGAGCCACTACATCTACAGGTCATTATGAACACTCGAGAAGGACATGGCAGAGGTGGAGAAGTACTCTGACCTTGTTCTGGAGTAGAAGTACTCTGACCTTGTTCTGGAGTAGAAGTAGAAGTACTCAGATCTGGTACTTGAGTAAAAGTAGAAGTACTCAGACCTTGTTCTGGAGTAAAAGTAGAAGTACTCAGATCTTGTACTTGAGTAAAAGTAGAAGTACTCAGACCTTGTTCTGGAGTAAAAGTAGAAGTACTCAGATCTTGTACTTGAGTAAAAGTAGAAGTACTCAGACCTTGTTCTGGAGTAAAAGTATTAGTACTCAGATCTGGTACTTGAGTAAAAGTAGAATTACTCAGATCTTGTACTTGAGTAAAAGTAGAAGTACTCAGATCTTGTACTTGAGTAAAAGTAGAAGTACTCAGATCTTGTACTTGAGTAAAAGTAGAAGTACTCAGACCTTGTTCTGGAGTAAAAGTAGAAGTACTCAGATCTGGTACTTGAGTAAAAGTAGAATTACTCAGATCTTGTACTTGAGTAAAAGTACAAGTACTCAGATCGTGTACTTGAGTAAAAGTACAAGTACTCAGATCTTGTACTTGAGTAAAAGTACAAGTACTCAGATCTTGTACTTGAGTTAAAGTAGAAGTACTCAGATCTGGTACTTGAGTAAAAGTAGAATTACTCAGATCTTGTACTTGAGTAAAAGTACAAGTACTCAGATCTTGTACTTGAGTAAAAGTAGAAGTACTCAGATCTGGTACTTGAGTAAAAGTAGAATTACTCAGATCTTGTACTTGAGTAAAAGTACAAGTACTCAGATCTTGTACTTGAGTAAAAGTAAAAGTACTCAGATCGTGTACTTGAGTAAAAGTAGAATTACTCAGATCTTGTACTTGAGTAAAAGTGGAAGTACTCAGATCTTGTACTTGAGTAAAAGTAGAAGTACTCAGATCTGGTACTTGAGTAAAAGTACAAGTACTCAGATCTTGTACTTGAGTAAAAGTAAAAGTACTCAGATCGTGTACTTGAGTAAAAGTACAAGTACTCAGATCTTGTACTTGAGTTAAAGTATTAGTACTCAGATCTTGTACTTGAGTTAAAGTAGAAGTACTCAGATCTTGTACTTGAGTAAAAGTACAAGTACTCAGATCTTGTACTGGAGTAGTAAAAGTACAAGTACTCAGATCGTGTACTTGAGTAAAAGTAGAAGTACTCAGATCTTGTACTTGAGTAAAAGTAGAAGTACTCTGACCTTGTTCTGGAGTAAAAGTAGAAGTACTCAGATCTGGTACTTGAGTAAAAGTAGAAGTACTCAGATCTTGTACTTGAGTAAAAGTAGAAGTACTCAGATTTGGTACTTGAGTAAAAGTAGAAGTACCAGATCTGGTACTTGAGTAAAAGTAGAAGTACCAGATCTGGTACTTGAGTAAGAGTACCAGATCCAGATCTGGTACTTGAGTAAAAGTACCAGATCCAGATCTGGTACTTGAGTAAAAGTAGAAGTACTCAGATCTTGTACTTGAGTAAAAGTAGAAGTACTCAGATCTTGTACTTGAGTAAAAGTAGAAGTACTCAGATCTGGTACTTGAGTAAAAGTAGAAGTACTCAGATCTGGTACTTGAGTAAAAGTAGAAGTACTCAGATCTTGTACTTGAGTAAAAGTAGAAGTACTCAGATCTGGTACTTGAGTAAAAGTAGAAGTACTCAGATCTGGTACTTGAGTAAAAGTAGAAGTACTCAGATCTTGTACTTGAGTAAAAGTAGAAGTACTCAGATCTGGTACTTGAGTAAAAGTACAAGTACTCAGATCTTGTTCTTGAGTAAAAGTAGAAGTACTCAGATCTTGTACTTGAGTTAAAGTAGAAGTACTCAGATCTTGTACTTGAGTAAAAGTAGAAGTACTCAGATCTTGTACTTGAGTAAAAGTAGAAGTACTCAGATCTTGTACTTGAGTAAAAGTAGAAGTACTCTGACCTTGTTCTGGAGTAAAAGTAGAAGTACTCAGATCTTGTACTTGAGTAAAAGTAAAAGTACTCAGATCTTGTACTTGAGTAAAAGTAGAAGTACTCTGACCTTGTTCTGGAGTAAAAGTAGAAGTACTCAGATCTTGTTCTTGAGTAAAAGTAGAAGTACTCAGATCTTGTACTTGAGTTAAAGTAGAAGTACTCAGATCTTGTACTTGAGTAAAAGTAGAAGTACTCAGATCTGGTACTTGAGTAAAAGTAGAAGTACTCAGATCTGGTACTTGAGTAAAAGTAGAAGTACTCAGATCTGGTACTTGAGTAAAAGTAGAAGTACTCAGATCTTGTACTTGAGTAAAGTAGAAGTACTCAGATCTTGTACTTGAGTAAAAGTAGAAGTACTCAGATCTGGTACTTGAGTAAAAGTAGAAGTACTCAGATCTGGTACTTGAGTAAAAGTAGAAGTACTCAGATCTTGTACTTGAGTAAAGTAGAAGTACTCAGATCTGGTACTTGAGTAAAAGTAGAAGTACTCAGATCTGGTACTTAAGTAAAAGTAGAAGTACTCAGATCTGGTACTTGAGTAAAAGTACAAGTACTTTATTTATATAGCACTTTTCAACACAAGGCAATTCAAAGTGCTTTACAAAAAATGAAAGACATTCAGAAAATGTTATTTAAAATCAGTCATTAAAAAGAAAAGATAATAAAATAAACATTAAAGAAAAAGTACATGGATAAAAGTTACAGTGCAGTCTAAGATATGAATAGTTCAATTAAAAGCAGCGACAAAAGAAAAGTCTTCAGCCTGGATTTAAAAGTAGTCAGAGTTGCAGCGGACCTGCAGGTTTCTGGGAGTTCCAGATATTTGGAGCATAATAACTGAACGCTGCTTCTCCATGTTTAGTTCTGACTCTGGGGACAGAAAGCTGACCAGTCCCTGAAGACCTGAGAGATCTGGATGGTTCATCATTTAGCAGGAGGTCAGAAATGTATTTTGGGCCTAAACCATTCAGTGCTTTATAAACCAGCAGCAGTATTTAGAAATCTATTCTTTGACACACAGGAAGCCAGTGTAAAGACTTCAGAACAGGAGTGATCCACTTTCTTAGTGTTAGTGAGGACTCGAGCAGCGGCGTTCTGAATCAGCTGCAGCTTTCTAATAGATGTTTGAGTGAGACCTGTGAAGACACCATTGCAGTAGTCGAGGACTACTGAAGATAAAAGCATGGACAAGTTTTTCCAGATCCTGCTGTGACATTAGTCTTTTAATCCTAGATATATTCTTTAGGTGATAGTAGGCTGATTTAGTAACTGTTTTAATGTGACTGTTGAAACTCAGGTCAGAGTCCATGACTACACCTAGATTTCTGGCTTTATCTGTTGTTTTGAACATTGCAGACTGAAGCTCAGCGCTAACTTTTATACGTTCTGCCTTGGCTCCAAAAACCATTACCTCAGTTTTATCTTTGTTTAATTGGAGAAAGTTCTGACACATCCAGTCATTGATTTGTTCAATGCACTTACTCAGTGTTTGAATTGGAGCATAGTCTCCTGGTGAAATTGTTACGTAAATTTGTGTGTCATCTGCATAGCTATGGTAACTTATTTTGTTGTACTTCATTATCTGAGCCAGTGGTAGCATGTAGATGTTAAAGAGAAGAGGCCCCAAGATGGAGCCTTGAGGAACCCCACATGTCATATTTGTCAACTCAGATGTGTATTTACCGATAGAAACAAAGTGTTTCTGTCCTTTAAGTAGGATTCAAACCAATTCAGAACTGTTTCCGAAAGTCCCACCCAGTTTTCCAGTCGGTCTAGTAATATGCTGTGGTCAACAGTGTCAAACGCAGCACTGAGATCTAATAATACTAACACTGAAGTTCTGCCACTGTCTGTGTTTAAGTGGATGTCATTAAAGACCTTTACAAGAGCAGTCTCAGTGCTGTGGTTTGGACGAAAGCCTGACTGGAACACATCCAAACAGTTATTTAAATGCAAGAAATTACTCAACTGTTGAAAAACAACTTTTTCAATGATTTTACCTAGAAATGGGAGGTTTGATATGGGCCTGTAATTGTTCATCACTGAAGCATCTAGATTATTCTTTTTTAATAGCGGTTTAATGACTGCAGTTTTCAGGGCCTGTGGAAAAACACCTGAGTGAAGAGATTTGTTTACTATATGAAGTAGATCTGAGGTACTTGAGTAAAAGTAGAAGTACTCAGATCTGGTACTTGAGTAAAAGTAGAAGTACTCAGATCTGGTACTTGAGTAAAAGTAGAAGGACTCAGATCTGGTACTTGAGTAAAAGTAGAAGGACTCAGATCTTGTACTTGAGTTAAAGTAGAAGTACTCAGATCTTGTACTTGAGTTAAAGTAGAAGTACTCAGATCTGGTACTTGAGTTAAAGTAGAAGTACTCAGATCTGGTACTTGAGTAAAAGTAGAAGTACTCAGATCTGGTACTTGAGTAAAAGTAGAAGTACTCAGATCTTGTACTTGAGTAAAAGTAGAAGTACTCAGATCTGGTTCTTGAGTAAAAGTAGAAGTACTCAGATCTGGTACTTGAGTAAAAGTAGAAGTACTCAGATCTGGTACTTGAGTAAAAGTAGAAGGACTCAGATCTGGTACTTGAGTAAAAGTAGAAGTACTCAGATCTGGTACTTGAGTAAAAGTAGAAGGACTCAGATCTGGTACTTGAGTAAAAGTAGAAGGACTCAGATCTTGTACTTGAGTTAAAGTAGAAGTACTCAGATCTTGTACTTGAGTAAAAGTAGAAGGACTCAGATCTTGTACTTGAGTTAAAGTAGAAGTACTCAGATCTTGTACTTGAGTTAAAGTAGAAGTACTCAGATCTGGTACTTGAGTTAAAGTAGAAGTACTCAGATTCTGGTACTTGAGTAAAGTAGAAGTACTCAGATCTGGTACTTGAGTAAAAGTAGAAGTACTCAGATCTGGTACTTGAGTAAAAGTAGAAGTACTCAGATCTTGTACTTGAGTAAAAGTAGAAGTACTCAGATCTGGTTCTTGAGTAAAAGTAGAAGTACTCAGATCTGGTACTTGAGTAAAAGTAGAAGTACTCAGATCTGGTACTTGAGTAAAAGTAGAAGTACTCAGATCTGGTACTTGAGTAAAAGTAGAAGTACTCAGATCTTGTACTTGAGTAAAGTAGAAGTACTCAGATCTTGTACTTGAGTAAAAGTAGAAGTACTCAGATCTGGTACTTGAGTAAAAGTAGAAGTACTCAGATCTGGTACTTGAGTAAAAGTAGAAGTACTCAGATCTTGTACTTGAGTAAAAGTAGAAGTACTCAGATCTGGTACTTGAGTAAAAGTAGAAGTACTCAGATCTGGTACTTGAGTAAAAGTAGAAGTACTCAGATCTTGTACTTGAGTAAAGTAGAAGTACTCAGATCTGGTACTTGAGTAAAGTACAAGTACTCAGATCTTGTTACTTGAGTAAAAGTACAAGTACTCAGATCTTGTTTGAGTAAAGTGAAGTACTCAGATCTTGTACTTGAGTTAAAGTAAGAAGTACTCAGATCTTGTACTTGAGTAAAAGTAGAAGTACTCAGATCTTGTACTTGAGTAAAAGTAGAAGTTACTCAGATCTTGTACTTGGAGTAAAAGTAGAAGTACTACTTCTGACCTTGTTCTGGAGTAAAGTAAGAAGTACTCAGATCTTGTACTTGAGTAAAGAGTAAAAGTACTCAGATCTTGTACTTGAGTAAAAGTAGAAGTACTCTGACCTTGTTCTTGAGTACAAGTAGAAGTACTCAGATCTAGGTTCTTGAGTAAAAGTAGAAGTACTCAGATCTGGTTCTTGAGTAAATAGTAGAAGTACTCAGATCTGGTACTTGAGAAAGTAGAAGTACTCAGATCTGGTACTTGAGTTAAAAGTAGAAGGACTCAGATCTTGTACTTGAGTTAAGTAGAAGTACTCAGATCTGGTACTTGAGTTAAAGTAGAAGTACTCAGATCTGTACTTGAGTTAAAGTAGAAGTACTCAGATCTTGTACTTGAGTAAAAGTAGAAGTACTCAGATCTGGTACTTTAGTAAAAGTAGAAGTACTCAGATCTGGTTCTTGAGTAAAAGTAGAAGTACTCAGATCTGGTTCTTGAGTAAAAGTAGAAGTACTCAGATCTGGTTCTTGAGTAAAAGTAGAAGTACTCAGGTCTTGTACTTGAGTAAAAGTAGAAGTACTCAGATCTGGTACTTGAGTAAAAGTAGAAGTACTCAGATCTTGTACTTGAGTAAAGTAGAAGGACTCAGATCTTGTACTTGAGTTAAAGTAGAAGTACTCAGATCTGGTACTTGAGTTAAAGTAGAAGTACTCAGATCTGGTACTTGAGTTAAAGTAGAAGTACTCAGATCTGGTACTTGAGTAAAAGTAGAAGTACTCAGATCTGGTACTTGAGTAAAGTAGAAGTACTCAGATCTTGTACTGAGTAAAGTAGAAGTACTAGATAGTAAAGTAGAAGTACTCAGATCTGGTACTTGAGTAAAAGTAGAAGTACTCAGATCTGGTACTTGAGTAAAGTAGAAGTACTCAGATCTGGTACTTGAGTAAAAGTAGAAGTACTCAGATCTGGTACTTGAGTAAAAGTAGAAGTACTCAGATCTGGTACTTGAGTAAAAGTAGAAGTACTCAGATCTGGTACTTGAGTAAAAGTAGAAGTCCTCAGATCTTGTACTTGAGTTAAAGTACAAGTACTCAGATCGTGTACTTGAGTAAAAGTACATGTTCTCAGATCGTGTACTTGAGTAAAAGTACAAGTACTCAGATCTTGTACTTGAGTAAAAGTACAAGTACTCAGATCTTGTACTTGAGTTAAAGTAGAAGTACTCAGATCTTGTTCTTGAGTAAAAGTAGAAGTACTCAGATCGTGTACTTGAGTAAAAGTACAAGTTCTCAGATCGTGTACTTGAGTAAAAGTAGAAGTACTCTGATCTTGTACTTGAGTAAAAGTACAAGTACTCAGATCTTGTACTTGAGTAAAAGTACAAGTACTCAGATCTGGTACTTGAGTGAAAGTAGAAGTACTCAGATCGTGTACTTGAGTAAAAGTAGAAGTACTCAGATCTGGTACTTGAGTGAAAGTAGAAGTACTCAGATCTGGTACTTGAGTGAAAGTAGAAGTACTCAGATCTCGTACTTGAGTAAAAGTAGAAGTACCAGAGTGTAGGAATACTCTGTTACAGTAAAAGTCCTGCATTCAAAATGTTCCTCAAGTGAAAGTAGAAAAGTATTGTCATCTAAATATAGTGAAAGTAGTCGTTGTGCATTCATCCACATCTGTAAAGTAACTAAAGGGATTAAATACATGTAGTGGAGTAGAAGTACACCATTAACCTCTGAATTGTAGAGGAGTAAAAATACACAATTAGCATACAATGGAAACACTTAAGTAAAGTATAAGTACATCTAAATTATACTTGAGTATATGTACTTAGTTACTGTACACATCTTGTTATAAAATAGTAATCACTTTATGTAGATTACTATTACTTGGTCTTTGTTTATTGTTTTAAGTGTAAACAGTTGAACTTAATGCTAACTTGAACAGCTAGGGAAACTCCCTTCATTATATGACACGTACTTAATAAATTAAAGTTATATTAACGAGTTTTAAAGTCTCACCTTCTGTCTGAGGTTTCCTACTCGCTTCCATGCTCTGTTTCTATCAGAAAAAGAGGTTTAATTAATGTTTTTATTTGGTTTAAATCCGGAGAAAAGAGACTTCCTCCTTCAAAGCTAACAGGATGATAAAGCTAACAGGAACGTAAACACGTAGCTTCCGGTTATGTCTTTCAAAATAAAAGCACGGTAACGCTAACCGGAATTTAAACACGCGGCTTCTGGTTAGCTCTTTCAAAATAAAAGCATGTGTTTTAAAAATGAAAATATAGATTATAAAGTGGATTTAATGTCTAAAATATATGCAGAGGTGTAATGTAGAGTACTGTACTAAAATGTAGGTACTTTACTTGAGTATTTTCACATTATATTATCAAAGAAAACACTATTAGATAAAGGGCATGCACAACATATTAAGAATTAAATTAAATGCAGATTTTAGTTAATACAAATTATAAATCAAGATATATTATCATATTTTATTATAGGCTAAACTACCCAAATAATCCCACATTTACCAAAAAGTGAAGAACACATTAATGCACCCATAATTTGATTACAATTGCAAAATATCTGGTGTTTAAATCAAATTAAAGTGTATTTATATCACCCAATATCACAACACAACTCAGTGGGCTTTACAGAAACAAACATTGTAAAACATAACATTTTTCATTTCATTTCAAACCTTTATTTAACCAGGTGAATCCCATTGAGATCATCGATCTATTTTTCAAGGGAGACCTGCAGCAAGTCGGTTCACATGAAGACATGAAACAACAGAAAACAATAAGGACATCATATTTACAGACCTATCGACATTTACAGGTACCAACAGAATCAAGTATCATAGCATCTATCCGAGATTTAAAAACATGCAGTGGAACCAAATTGCTCCGTTTCCATTCTTTTTGCAGACCGTTCCAAGTTAGAGGAGCAGCGCACATAAAAGCTTTCGTCCCTAAGTCAGTCCTAGCACTCGGCACATGTAGCAAGACCACATCCTGAGGTCTCAGGCAACAGCTCCCTGCCACTCTCTGTGTGATCAGAGCAGATGTAAGATGGTAGTTTACCCAGCATGGCTTTGTAGATGAACACGTACCAGTGACTGAGCCTCCGTACAGTTAGTGAAGGCAGACCTGCCTGGCATACAGGGGACAGTGATGAGTCAGTGCTTTACAGTTAGTAACTCATCTCAGAGCGCTGTGATAGGCGGCATCTCACTTGATCAGGTGCATTCAGATAGATCAGTCCAGCACAGGTCAAAAGGTCACAGAGACTAGCCTTTCTTAAAATGAATTAAGATGCAACAAAAACACAATAAAATAAACTACATGTAGGAGGAGGAGCATGGGGAATAATCCGAAACCAGCTCTAACGTTTGGGACTTTAAAGTATATGGTGATGCTAATACTTGTTTACTTAAGTACACATTTGAATGCACTACTTGTACTTGTTACTGAGTACTTCTGAGAATATGTAACCGTGAAAAATCTACTTTCCATTTGTGATTGAAACTATTTCCAAGACCCTGTAAAGAAAGTAAATAAGAGAAGACTTTAAGACCAACTGTAGGAGATTAGTTTATTGATCCAAGCAGTTTATTTACAACATTAATGCAAAAATCAGACTTTATTTACAATTAGAAACAGTGGTTTCCTCATACCTTCATTTTTAATTAAGTACTTCTTGTACACGCTGTAAAACAACAACAACAACAACAACAACAGCTAGGAGGATAAACACATCTACCCTCTGTTAATCCTTCACTTATCCTCGATATATATCACCTGTAAAGTGGCTTCAATATAACGCTCTTCATTTCCCCTTAATAATTAAAAGCTAAAAGAGAGAGAGGTAACGTGATTAAGTCGCCCACGATGCCAGCGTCCGCATGTCGTCCTCGTCCTCAACTCTCTTCTTAGTGGCTGCAAAGAGAAGGAAAGTTAATCAGGTTATTATGGGATAGTTATCAGGGTTAATCAGCTGTTCCCGTTTATCTTATTCTGCATTAACTCGGTCACTGACAACATTTAGCCGACTGCATGTGTTCATCTCTGACGTGGATATAGTTTACTTCTCCTGCACTACTTAATAATACCTTATATTTATTATAGCGCTTTTTCCATGACCCAAAGCGCTTTACAGATACACACTACACACACATATCAGACGTACATGTAACGGTCATGTACTGTGGACAATACCCACAGGAGCAAATTCAGGTGAAGTGTGTTGCCCAAGGACACAACGGCTTTGCAGATGCAGCGGAGGAGGCGGGTTGCGCCCCCTTGGTCAATGCACAGCCCACTGCGCCACACCTCAAAGTCATCGAGGCGCTTTACAAGTATACACTAGACTCCTGGATTGCTAAACTTCTGGAGTGCTAGACTCCTGGTGCTAGACTCCTGGCGCTAGACTCCTGGTGCTAGACTCCTGGTGCTAGACTCCTGGCGCTAGACTCCTGGTGCTAGACTCCTGGTGCTAGACTCCTGGCGCTAGACTCCTGGCGCTAGACTCCTGGCGCTAGACTCCTGGCGCCAGACTCCTAGTTCTAGACTCCTGGTACCAGACTCCTAGTTCTAGACTCCTTGTACCAGACTCCTAGTGCTAGACTCCTGGTACTAGACTCCTAGTTCCAGGAGTCTGGTGCTAGACTCCTGGTACTAGACTCCTGGTGCCAGACTCCTGGCGCTAGACTCCTGGCGCCAGACTCCTGGCGCTAGACTCCTGATACCAGACTCCTAGTACTAGACTCCTAGTTCTAGTCTCCTAGTACTAGACTCCTAGTACCAGACTCCTGGTACTAGACTCCTGATACCAGACTCCTAGTACTAGACTCCTAGTTCTAGTCTCCTAGTACTAGACTCCTAGTACCAGACTCCTGGTACTAGACTCCTGATACCAGACTCCTAGTACTAGACTCAGTTATAGACTCCTGGTACTAGCCTCCTAGTTCCAGGAGTCTGGTGCTAGACTCCTGGTGTGCTAGACTCCTGGTACCAGACTCCTAGTTCCAGGAGTCTGGTACTAGACTCCTGGTTCTAGACTCCTAGTTCCAGGAGTCTGGTTCTAGTCTCCTAGTTCTAGACTCCTGGTGCCAGACTCCTGGTTATAGACTCCTGGTTCTAGACTATTGGTACCAGACTCCTAGTTCTAGACTCCTGGTACTAGACTCCTGGTTCCAGGAGTCTGGTTCTAGTCTCCTAGTTCTAGACTCCTGGTGCTAGACTCCTGGTGCCAGACTATTGGTACCAGACTCCTAGTTCTAGACTCCTGGTACTAGACTCCTAGTTCCAGCCGGTGTGTCCTTGGGCAAGACACTTCACCTGAACTTGCTCCTGTGGGTATTGTCCACAGTATCTGACCATTGCATGTATCATATATGTGTAATGTGTGTATATGTAAAGCGCTTTGAGTCATTGATAAAGCGCTATAATAAATGTAAGGAATTATTATTATTATTATTAGACTCCTGGTTATAGACTCCTGGTACTAGACTCCTAGTTCTAGACTCCTAGTTCTAGACTCCTGGTACCAGACTCCTGGTGCCAGACTCCTGGTTCTAGACTATTGGTACCAGACTCCTAGTTCTAGACTCCTGGTACTAGACTCCTAGTTCCAGGAGTCTGGTTCTAGACTCCTGGTTCTATCAATCAATCAACAACTTTATTAATCCCGCAAGGGGCAATTGGTTATGAGCAGCAGCTTATGTCATGAACACAGGCAGGAACATACAAGAAGAAAACACACAGATACACCCGGGAGCACAGATGTGGATAATTCCAATTTACACTATAAATAGTTCAAAGCATCACAATAATAAATAAATAATCAAGTTAAAAGCCTTTTCAAGAATTTAAAAGGGATGAATGATTTAGAAAAGCGATTAGTCCTTTGATCAGCACTGATGGCAACAGACAGAATTCATGTGAAAGTACATGACCTGGAGAATTCAGAATGCTCTCTGCTTTCCGCAGAATCTGTTGGTTACAGAAGGAATTTAAGTCTCTCTGTTTCACGCCGATGATCTTGGAGCAGGTTTTAACAATGCTGTTCCTGTCTTTCAGTGTAAGGCTATGGAACCAGCAGATACAAGAAAAACAAATAAGGCTCTCAATGAATGCTTGGTAAAAACGACAGAGAATGAAAGACTCCTGGTTCTAGGCTCCTGTTCTAGACTCCAGGAGACTAGTACCAGACTCCTGGAACTAGGAGTCTGGTACTAGTCTCCTGGTACTAGACTCCTGGTACCAGACTCCTGGTTCTAGACTCCTGGTACCAGACTCCTAGTTCCAGGAGTCTGGTACTAGACTCCTGGTTCTAGACTCCTGGTACCAGACTCCTAGTTCCAGGAGTCTGGTACTAGACTCCTGGTTCTAGACTCCTGGTACCAGACTCCTAGTTCCAGGAGTCTGGTGCTAGACTCCTGGTACTAGACTCCTGGTACTAGACTCCTGGTACTAGACTCCTGGTACTAGACTCCTGGGTCTAGACTCCTGGTGCTAGGATGGGTTAAAAGCAGAGAACACATGTCACTGTGTGCTCTGCATGTGTGCCCTTAAAGAGGGGTTCATCCCTCCCAATTCTAATCTATGTAAAATATTCTGGACAAATTACAAATGTTCTCTAAAATACTACAGAAACAGAAATGAAGACATAATTTAGTACTTCAATTTAGGAAAACTAAGTGACAAAAGTAAAATATTACAGTGTTGAGAGGTTTTATAAAGAATGTATGTTTTGCTGTTGCTGTTTTGATTATTATTGCATATTGTCTGTCTTGTCCTCTGCAGTAATTTCCTCTGAGATACTTTTACCTGGTCACTGCCAACATTTAGCTTATTGTATTTATTTATTTCTGACATGGATATAGATTACTTCTCCTGCATTTACTCAAGTACAAGATCTGAGAACTTCTACTTAAGATCTGAGTTCTTCTCCGACCTCTGAGTAGAAGTACGATTAGGAAAACTTAGAGTATAGGAAGTACTGCAGTAATCCCTCTGATATATGTGTCTCTTACTCGCTCGGTGACTGCTGGGTCTCGCTGAGGGCAGTTTGCTGCTCGGCACGCTGGGTAATCCTCCCATCCTCTTCATGTTCTCCTCCAGCTCCTCCTGCTCCAGCTCCTCCAGCTCAGCCAGCAGCTCGTCCTGAAACCAGGGAAGTAATCAGATTACTGTCTCTAAACATTGGGGCACGCAATGACTCCAAACACATTTGTGTTCAACATGTAAGAAGTAGAAAGTACAGGTATTTGAGTTCAACATGTAAGAAGTAGAAAGTACAGGTATTTGGGTTCAACATGTAAGAAGTAGAAAGTACAGGTATTTGAGTTCAACATGTGAGAAGTAGAAAGTACAGGTATTTGTGTTCAACATGTAAGAAGTAGAAAGTACAGGTATTTGAGTTCAACATGTGAGAAGTAGAAAGTACAGGTATTTGAGTTCAACATGAGAGAAGTAGAAAGTACAGGTATTTGGGTTCAACATGTGAGAAGTAGAAAGTACAGGTATTTGAGTTCAACATGTGAGAAGTAAAAAGTACAGGTATTTGTGTTCAACATGTAAGAAGTAGAAAGTACAGGTATTTGGGTTCAACATGTAAGAAGTAGAAAGTACAGGTATTTGTGTTCAACATGTGAGAAGTAGAAAGTACAGGTATTTGAGTTCAACATGTAAGAAGTAGAAAGTACAGGTATTTGAGTTCAACATGTAAGAAGTAGAAAGTACAGGTATTTGGGTTCAACATGTGAGAAGTAGAAAGTACAGGTATTTGAGTTCAACATGTAAGAAGTAGAAAGTACAGGTATTTGAGTTCAACATGTAAGAAGTAGAAAGTACAGGTATTTGAGTTCAACATGTAAGAAGTAGAAAGTACAGGTATTTGAGTTCAACATGTAAGAAGTAGAAAGTACAGGTATTTGTGTTCAACATGTAAGAAGTAGAAAGTACAGGTATTTGGGTTCAACATGTAAGAAGTAGAAAGTACAGGTATTTGAGTTCAACATGTAAGAAGTAGAAAGTACAGGTATTTGTGTTCAACATGTAAGAAGTAGAAAGTACAGGTATTTGGGTTCAACATGTAAGAAGTAGAAAGTACAGGTATTTGAGTTCAACATGTAAGAAGTAGAAAGTACAGGTATTTTGAGTTCAACATGTGAGAAGTAGAAAGTACAGGTATTGTGTTCAACCATGTAAGAAGTAGAAAGTTGAAATACAGGTATTTGGGTTCAACATGTAAGAAGTAGAAAAGCTATAGGTCACGGTATTAGTGAGTTCAACATGTAAGAAGTAGAAAGTACAGGTATTTGAGTTCAACATGTAAGAAGTAGAAAGTACAGGTATTTGAGTTCAACATGTGAGAAGTAGAAAGTACAGGTATTTGAGTTCAACATGTAAGAAGTAGAAAGTACAGGTATTTGAGTTCAACATGTAAGGAAGTAGAAAGTACAGGTATTTGTGTTCAAACATGTAGGAGTAGAAAGTACAGGTATTTGAGTTCAACATGTAAGAAGTAGAAAGTACAGGTATTTGTGTTCAACATGTAAGAAGTAGAAAGTACAGGTATTTGAGTTCAACATGTAAGAAGTAGAAAGTACAGGTATTTGAGTTCAACATGTAAGAAGTAGAAAGTACAGGTATTTGTGTTCAACATGTAAGAAGTAGAAAGTACAGGTATTTGAGTTCACACATGTGAGAAGTAGAAAGTACAGGTATTTGAGTTCAACATGTAAGAAGTAGAAAGTACAGGGTATTTGAGTTCAACATGTGAGAAGTAGAAAGTACAGGTATTTGTGTTCAACATGTAAGAAGTAGAAGTACAGGTATTTGAGTTCAACATGTAAGAAGTAGAAAGTACAGGTATTTGAGTTCAACATGAGAGAAGTAGAAAGTACAGGTATTTGAGTTCAACATGTAAAGAAGTGAGAAAGTAAAAGGTATTTGAGTTCAACATGTGAGAAGTAGAAGTACAGGTATTGTGTTCAACCATGTAAGAGTAGAAAGTACAGTATTTGTGTTCAACATGTAGAAGTAGAAAGTACAGGTATTTGAGTTCACATGTAAGAATAGAAAGTACAGGTATTTGAGTTCAACATGTGAGAAGTAGAAAGTACAGGTATTTGAGTTCAACATGTAAGAAGTAGAAAGTACAGGTATTGAGTTCAACATGTAAGAAGTAGAAAGTAACGGTATTTGAGTTCAACATGTAAGAAGTAGAAAGTACAGGTATTTGAGTTCAACATGTGAGAAGTAGAAAGTACAGGTATTTGAGTTCAACATGTAAGAAGTAGAAATGTACAGGTATTTGAGTTCAACATGTAAGAAGTAGAAAGTACAGGTATTTGAGTTCAACATGTAAGAAGTAGAAGTACAGGTATTTGAGTTCAACATGTAGAAGTAGAAAGTACAGGTATTTGAGTTCAACATGTAAGAAGTAGAAAAGTACAGGGTATGTGAGTTCAACATGTAAGTAGAAGTAAGGTTGAGTGTCAACATGTAAAAGAGAAAAGGACAGGGTATTTGAGTTCACATGTAGAAGTAGAAAGTACAGGTATTTGAGTTCAACATGTTGAAAGTAGAAAAGTACAGGTATTTGGAGTTCAACATGTGAGAAGTAGAAAGTACAGGTATTTGGGTTCAACATGTAAGAAGTAGAAAGTAACAGGTAATTTTGAGTTCACATGTAAGAAGTAGAAAGTACAGGTATTTGTGTGTCAACATGTAAGAAGTAGAAAGTACAGGTATTTGAGTTCACATAGAAGTAGAAAGTACAGGTATTTGAGTTCAACATGTGGAGAAGTAGAAAGTACAGGTATTTGGGTTCAACATGTAAGAAGTAGAAAGTACAGGTATTTGAGTTCAACATGTAAGAAGTAGAAAGTACAGGTATTTGTGTTCAACATGTAAGAAGTAGAAAGTACAGGTATTTGAGTTCTAAATGTAAGAAGTCAAAGTAAAAAATCGTCAGAAAAATAAGTAGTGGAGTAAAGTACTGATACCAGAAACATGTACTTAAGTACAGTAACAAAGTATTTGTACTCCACTACTTCCCTCCTCTGGTTCTGTGTAAGCTGTTCTGTTCTGTAGGCTAGAGTGAAATATCCGTACCTCGTCAAACGTCTCTCCAAAAGGTCCGGAGATGGCGTCGCTGATTTCTCGAGCGACGTCTTGTTGCTCCGTGATGTCCTGCATCAGATCGTCTATCTTATCAATGTCCCTGAGAACGGACGGTGAGAGGACAGGAGAATCAGAATCCCTTTATTCGTCCCACAGACGGGAAATGTACATTTGTCACAGCCGAAAAGAGCCAACGACAGCTTCATGTTAACTAAGAAGAATGCATTATTTACAAAATACACATCCTGTAACAGTTCTGAAGATTTAGCAGCCAGGTATATATTGCACATCATTTGTATTTCACAGCCAGGGGTGTTATAGCATTTTGTGTGTGTGTGTGTGTGTGTGTGTGTGTGTGTGTGTCTTTAGGAGTTTACACACAGCTGATTAAAACAACACAGATTATATTTTCTTTCTGCTCAGTTCTCTCACATGTTCTCGTGGACCTGCTTCATGGCCTTGGCAGCGAAGCCCATGTTCTTCAGGACCTCAGTGTTGGTGTGAGAGTTCTCCAGAGCCTCTCTCTGAAACTCGATGGTGGACAAAGTGCCGTCGATCTGCGTCAGCTGCTGCTCCAGACGCTTCTTCCTCTTCAGCGCCTGCAGGGCGGCTGGGACAGAAACAACACGGAGGAGGATCATGTTTTTATTTCTCAGACAGCGCCTAAATAAATACCTGGCAGTGCTGGGCGTCAAAGACAACAGGTTCCTCCCTTTGTATAGTCTGAGGTGATTCAACAGGCAAGGCTTCACCCGAGAAAACATTAGATGAGACTCAACTTTGCATCCAACCAGAAACACTTCCATTTAATATCGAATTATCAATTTCTTGCACAATAATAACCTGCATTACATTTGTATTTCCACGTGTATGTTTAACTGTAATGCTATAAGGTGCATGAGGTTTCAGTTAACTCGCATGAATACGTATATTAGGATAAGTTGCAGGTTATATATGTTAAGTACAGTTGTACTGAAAACACACAGTTTCCTGTAAAGGGAAACTCAACTATAACTCAGTTTTATTTAATCTCTTTCTCTCTCGTTACAAACCTGTTCAACTCGCTGCTGCTGACGAAACTGTTATCTTCAACAAATAAAGAAAATCACTGTAGGCCAAATATCTGATACCTGGATACAGAGGTGTAAAGTGATCAAGTACTTTTACTATCTGAGTACTTCTACTTTTACTCAAGTACTTCTACCACCTCTGCCTGGATATAAAAACGGAATCTGATATATTTAAACAACCTCTTCAATACTTGTTTACCTGTGTTGTTTCTCTTAAAACGTGTCCAAAATAGAAGCCAAAAGTAAACACACACACACACACACACACACACACACACACACACACACACACACACACACCTGTGCTCCTACAATATTTGTGTATAATACCATTACACCCTACAAGTACACAATAGCGATCGTTCACTGTTCCAACTGGCATGCTCACACACACACACACACACACACACACACACACACACACACACACACACACACACACACACACACACACACACACACACACACACACACACACACACACACACACACACACACACACACACACACACACACACACACACACACACACACACACACACACACACACACACACACACACACACACACACACACACACACACACACACACACACACACACACACACACGTATGTGTGTGTTTTTGTACCTCTCTTGTTTTTGGTGCCGTTCTTCTTGGCTATCGTCAGCTCCTGCTCGATCCTCTTCTCCAGGTAGTCCTGTTTCTTGGTCAGCATTTCCTCCGTCTCCGCAGTTTGTGGATGGCCTCCTGCGGGGAAGGGCCTCCTCTGGACCGGCTGTGTTTGGACTTCGAAGAGCTGGAAGAACTGGAGCTGGAGCTCCCTTTGAATAACTTCGCGATTTTACTCATTTTAGCAGCTTTTCAGGTTAAATAGTAGCTTCGTGGATCGAGTGTCCCAGCCTCGCTGCCCTACTGTAAAGTGTTTTTTCTTCTTCTTTCAGACGGGTCGGTTGGTGGCGGATTTTCCTGTTGGACTGCTTTCAATTCAAACCAGCCAGTGAACGCACCTTTCAACACACCTTTCACCATTACCTGAATGACGTCATGACACCTGACACCCTCCCCAGGTCGGTTACAATTCAAAAAATGTTTTTAAAAGTTTTTTTTTATTGTGAGAAAATGATTATAAAAAAACTCCTTATTAAATATAAAGGGGTAAATTAATACTCTTTCACTATTAAAAATAAAGTAAATGAATATAAATCTGTCGTAGTGGGTGAAACTCGGTCACGTGGTTTCAGCACACCTGAGTGACGTCATGACACCTGACAGATCGGTTACAATTTAAAAAAGTTTCGAACGTTTTATTTTTATTTTAGGGAAGAAAATAATACTAATTTGTTTTTATTATTAAATATAAAGGGGTACGTTACACTGCTAACATCCATGGTCGTAGTGGGTGAAACTCGGTGACGTGGTTTCACTGCTGGGGTCAAAGTTCATGTTGACACCAGGAAGTATTCAGACTGTTAAAACATGTCTTCAGACCAATCGACAATATAGAGAAGATTTAATGTTGTTGTTTTCTTTCTCATGTATTTATTATTTAGTTTTTTGTATTTGTTTACCCCTGCCATTCTCCTGCTCCACTCTCATCCAGCAGGTGGCGGTATTGCGCCTATCGCCTACTGCCGTTAAACCACCGAAGAAGAGAGAAGCGTTGTTTACTTCATCAGCTGTTTTCCACTCGCTTTGTAATCATGGCTGAATTTAACATCGGGAAGCATTGCCGGATCGATTCCTGCCACCAAAACGGTGTGTATCCTCTCCTCTCACTCACAATACGATCATTTATTAACCTGTGTTATTCTGGAGTTGTGTTCAGAAGAAACACAATATAACGGCTCTTTAGCTTCGTTAGCATGTGAGCTAACTAACTGGCGTTAGCGTTACATGTTTGGTAAACTAGCTTCTAACTGCTAACCAAACTGTTATAATTAGCATAAAACACCAGCGCACAGTTGTTTTAATGTATACTATGTGGGTGAGAAAGTGTGTTTAATCAGTCATTAGTAGTTGTGGTACTTTCTGAGGCTTTAACATTAGTTTGAGAATATTATTTAGAAGTAAACAATCCCTCTTTGTAATGTTTACTAGCCTCCTTATGCTAACTCAACTGAGAAATATATACAATATAGATTACACTAAAGTATGATTTAATGTTAATTGTTTTAGAATAATTTCTTTAAACCTTGTGTTGATAAACAGCGACTGTTTAGCTTCCTTAGCGTTACATGTTTGGTAAACTAGCTCCTAACTAGCATACTAACTGCTAACCAAACTGTTATAATTAGCATCAAACGCCAACGGTAGAGTTGTTATAACTTAAACAATATGGTTGGCAAAGTGTGTTTAATTAGTCATTAGTAGTTGTGGTATTTTCTGAGGCTATAACATTAGTTTACGGATATTATTTAGAAGTAGAGAATCCCTCTTTGTAATGTTTACTAGCCTCCTTATGCTAACTCAACTGAGAAATATATACAATATAGATTAAACTAAAGTATGATTTCATGTTCGTTGTTTTAGGGTTATTTCTTTAATATCCACCATCCTGTAATGTCAAAGCTATGCTCATGTGCTTTTAAATATGTGCTGCAATCTGGAGTCAAATGATCCATAGTTTGAGTTTCTCATTTTCTTAAAAAAAGATCTGTATTTTTTTACTTTTTATTTGAATATCCAGAATATTTGAGATATTTTTGTTTGTATTTTTTACATTTTATATAATATTTTTAATTTAATTAGTTAATTATCTTTTCCACTTTTTTAAGTATTTTAAGTATTGTATTCCTCAAAGTATCTATCTCTCTAAATGAACAGGTGAATTCAAGACAGGGACAAACAGACTAGATATACAAATACAGATTACATACAAACTCTACTGTATTGATGTTTTACATGTCTAATATATGTAATGTAAAGAGCTTTGGGCACTGGGAAAAGAGCTCAAATAAATACCATGACTTATTATTATTAGTAAAGTAAAGAAACTCATTAAGTGGTTCACTTTCATTAATGTAGATTTGTGTGTATAAAATGTACATACAATAAGAAGAGTTATTGACTAACAAGTGGTCTGAGGGGTTCATACATTTACGGACGCGTGTGGTGTCGTGGATAGAGCGTTGGTGTTGGGATCAGGGGGGCACAGGTTCAAACCCCACTGCAGTCAGCATGTCGTTGTGTCCCGGAGACTCTTCACCCCAAAGTGCTCCTGTGGGGATTGCCCTCAGTGTTGAGTCTGTGAGTCGCTTTGGATAAAAGCGTCTAACAGTGACCTGTGATGTCATTCAGCAGAAATCAACATGAGCTTTTTTTCTAAACTAAGGCCCCGTCCACACGGAGACGGAAACGAACCAATGTCGACACCAAAAAAGCCGTCTGTCCACACGAGACCGCTCGACCCGCTGGAGACCCTGTAGTACATATGCCGGACCTGTAAGTGGCGCTGTAAAATAGCAATACCAAAAGCAGCGAAGAAGACCCCCCCCCCCCGAGCATGGTTGCCATTGTTGCCCTTCTGTTTATTCTCCGCGGTGGATTTAGCTAAATCGCAGCGAACCGTCCATACGATAAAGAACTATAGCGGATAACACCCGTTTCGTCTCCGTGTGGGCGGGGCCTAAATGTCCCTCGGGAGTTAAAACCATTTCAGGCTTCAATGTGTTGTTGTTATGTCTTCCTCTCAGACTGACGCTGTTCTCTTCTCATTCAGATTTCCTCCCGTTCGTCTGTGATCTGTGCCGCGGAAGTTTCTGGTAAGAATTCAGGAAATGTCCACAGATTGAAAAGTATTAAGAAAGACACAAGGCTTTAAAACAATCATCATTTGCTCATTTACTACCGAGGTGGGAGAAGTACTCAGATCTTGTACTTGAGTAAAAGTCGAAGCTACATTCTCATTTTATCAGCTGATCCGTCACAGATATATTTATAACTAATAAAGTTGTACATAAACCACCAACAGGATTTAATCATTGCTCACTACGTATCGTCCCAGTTCTTAAATATACTAATATGTGTTAAATGCACAATATGTTTCTCTGAACTACAGGGAAGCAGACGTACGAAGTTGCATTAAATTAAAATGGTAATTAAATGAACTTTTGCTTTAACTACTTCTTGTTTCTGATGAAATGTATTTTTGTTTCAGCCTGGACCACAGGAGCAGAGAGGCCCACTCGTGTTCGGAGGTACGCTGTGCTCCATCTTTAGAAACACACTTTTAACGTTAGATCTGTTTCGGCTCAGTTGTTTAAATGTTTTGACCCTTTTCTTTCACCAGGAGCCGGTGAAGGCGGAGCCTCGGACGACTGGAGGAAATAAAGTTATCCGTGTTCGTTTCAAGACTGCAGAGGGAAGGAGCTGCTGCCTGTCGCCTGTCCGCAGTGTGGGAGACAGCTCTGTCTGGCGTACGTAAACATGCTGCTCCACAACAAGTTAAAGAATAATGAAAACAAGCTAAAAAGATCTGCCAATAGAACAAGTGAACATGAGCTCGGTGAGACGTCTAGAGATAAGAAACGATATTTAGATAAATCACTTTGAACTAGCAGGAGAACTCATTGTGAACTATATTTCACCAGAATCAGGAAATGTTGTTTCAAAATAAGCCTCAAAAGGTTTAGTTTCCTGATGTTCGTTGGTGATTTCCAAATAAATATGTGTTTCATCTGAGAAACGACTCAAAGTGAGATTATTTGACTGAACAAGATGATGCTTTGTCTAAAAACAAGACCTGACATCTCACTGTCACTTCTGAAGTCAGTGTGTCTCATATCAGGAGGAGAGACACTGGACACGGATACTGCGCAAGATTTCAAGTTTTTGTAGTGGAATAAAAAGGGATGCATTTCTTGTTCTGGTAAACTAACATTTGTCTTCTTCTTGCCTCACAGCCACCGTCACCAAGACGATCACGAGTGTGAGAAGTTGGAGGTCCAGAAGCCTCGAATGGCCGCCACCAAAGAGCTGGTGCAAAAAATCGTAGGTGAGTTTCAGAGTTAATTTCTAATGTGATTCCGTATTTGTCCACAGAATCAGAATACCTTAATTAGTCCCACGGAGGAGACGCTTATTGTTACAGCAGAAAAGAGCCTTCGTGTTGACGAGAAGCATGCATTCAAAAAGAGGTGTTTCTAATATGCTGTACGTCTGTCTGTGTTCCCCCTCAGACTCAAAGGACACATCTAAAGCTAAAGGACGAAGAGGAGCGAAGAGCAGCACCACAGCAGCTAAAGTGGCGTTAATGAAACTGAAGCTTCATGCTGCGGGAGACAAGGGGCTTCCACAGGTAAGACCCTACTTTAAAGAGTCCTCTCCTGCTGATGTTCAGGTGTATATCAGTATGTAGTGTCTCTACTTTAAAGAGTCCTCTCCTGCTGATGTTCAGGTGTATATCAGTATGTAGTGTCTCTACTTTAAAGAGTCCCTCTCCTGCTGATGTTCAGGTGTATATCAGTAATGTAGTGTCTCTACTTTAAAGAGTCCTCTCCTGCTGATGTTCAGGTGTATATCAGTATGTATTGTCTCTACTTTAAAGAGTCCTCTCCTGCTGATGTTCAGGTGTATATCAGTATGTAGTGTCTCTACTTTAAAGAGTCCTCTCCTGCTGATGTTCAGGTGTATATCAGTATGTAGTGTCTCTACTTTAAAGAGTCCTCTCCTGCTGATGTTCAGGTGTATATCAGTATGTAGTGTCTCTACTTTAAAGAGTCCTCTCCTGCTGATGTTCAGGTGTATATCAGTATGTAGTGTCTCTACTTTAAAGAGTCCTCTCCTGCTGATGTTCAGGTGTATATCAGTATATAGTGTCTCTACTTTTAAAGAGTCCTCTCCTCTGATGTGCAGGTGTATATCAGTATGTAGTGTCTCTACTTTAAAGAGTCCTCTCCTGCTGATGTTCAGGTGTATATCAGTATGTAGTGTCTCTACTTTAAAGAGTCCTCTCCTGCTGATGTTCAGGTGTATATCAGTATGTAGTGTCTCTACTTTAAAGAGTCCTCTCCTGCTGATGTTCAGGTGTATATCAGTATGTAGTGTCTCTACTTTAAAGAGTGCTCTCCTGCTGATGTTCAGGTGTATATCAGTATGTAGTGTCTCTACTTTAAAGAGTCCTCTCCTGCTGATGTTCAGGTGTATATCAGTATGTGGTGTCTCTACTTTAAAGAGTCCTCTCCTGCTGATGTTCAGGTGTATATCAGTATGTAGTGTCTCTACTTTAAAGAGTCCTCTCCTGCTGATGTTCAGGTGTATATCAGTATATAGTGTCTCTACTTTAAAGAGTCCTCTCCTGCTGATGTTCAGGTGTATATCAGTGTGTAGTGTCTCTACTTTAAAGAGTCCTCTCCTGCTGATGTTCAGGTGTATATCAGTATGTAGTGTCTCTACTTTAAAGAGTCCTCTCCTGCTGATGTTCAGGTGTATATCAGTATATAGTGTCTCTACTTTAAAGAGTCCTCTCCTGCTGATGTTCAGGTGTATATCAGTATGTAGTGTCTCTACTTTAAAGAGTCCTCACCTGCTGATGTTCAGGTGTATATCAGTATGTAGTGTCTCTACTTTAAAGAGTCCTCACCTGCTGATGTTCAGGTGTATATCAGTATGTAGTGTCTCTACTTTAAAGAGTCCTCTCCTGCTGATGTTCAGGTGTATATCAGTATGTAGTGTCTCTACTTTAAAGAGTCCTCTCCTGCTGATGTTCAGGTGTATATCAGTATGTAGTGTCTCTACTTTAAAGAGTCCTCACCTGCTGATGTTCAGGTGTATATCAGTATATAGTGTCTCTACTTTAAAGAGTCCTCTCCTGCTGATGTTCAGGTGTATATCAGTGTGTAGTGTCTCTACTTTAAAGAGTCCTCTCCTGCTGATGTTCAGGTGTATATCAGTATGTAGTGTCTCTACTTTAAAGAGTCCTCTCCTGCTGATGTTCAGGTGTATATCAGTATATAGTGTCTCTACTTTAAAGAGTCCTCTCCTGCTGATGTTCAGGTGTATATCAGTATGTAGTGTCTCTACTTTAAAGAGTCCTCTCCTGCTGATGTTCAGGTGTATATCAGTATGTAGTGTCTCTACTTTAAAGAGTCCTCTCCCCCCCCTCCCCCCGCGCTCTCTCCCCCCCCCTCCCCCCCTGCTCTCTCCCCCCCTCTCCCCTCTCTCTCTCTCTCTCCCCCCCCTCTCTCTCTCTCTCCCCCGCGCTCTCTCTCTCCCCCTCGCTCTCTCTCTCTAGGCGGAGAGGACATATTTACAGGTTTATCTCCCGAAGGACTCCAAAGCCTCGAGCCAGCCGATGTTCTTCTGTTCTAAGTGGAGCGTGGGGAAGGCGGTGGATTACGCAGCTTCTCTGGCGAGTCTGAAGAACAGCAACAACATCCTGACAGCCAAGGTGCGGAGAATCTGACCGTCGACCCTTTACTGCCGTCTTATAGCTTCATTAAAACAAGTCCGTTGTTAACAGTGAAGCTCTTTTACATACAATGCTAATGAAAAATCATTTTACCGTGATGTTTGAAACGTACTAACCCTACTTTCATATATTTAAACATAAATGATATTTTTGATATCCTGTGACTTTTTCCCATTTAAACTAGCTTGTAATCGGAAAGAGAAATAGTATCGCAAAAATCAGACGAGCACGTTGAGTATCGATAGTCAAAAATAGTCCCAGTGTAATATGTTTAAAAATATTAAAGTATGTCTTAAACATCATGGAAAAAGTGATAGTTAAGCAGAGGCGAACCGTCAGGGCCTTCAAGGTGTTCAGAGAACACTCAGATAATTCTATGAATCATGTGTGTCGTTGATCTGTTTGTCCTTCTCGGACCATGCTCTACGCATTTCAGCGGCGGGGGGGGGTGTCTACAGAAGGTCCAGTTGTGATTAACATGGTGGCACAATGAAATAAGTGTCAGATTGTGACGTTAATGTAGATATCCCCCAAAAAGAGTCATAGTATTTTATGTTGAAAACGACTGACATTTCTTTTTGCTTATCTGAACACAAAGTAGTTATTATTAGTATATTATAGTATTTCCACATTTTCTTCTTCGTGTTATTGATTCACACATTTGAATAAACTTGAATCTCTCTCCGCTCTCGTAGAAGCTGCGTCTGTGCCACCCTCAGACGGGCGAGGCTCTCCAGATGGACGACACCCTGCTGTCCCTGCTCTCTCACCCAGAAACGCCCCTCTTTAACGGGGGAGACGTTGTGCTGGAGTACCTGGAGAACCAGAGCTCCGGCCTGGATGTGTCCGACTACATCAGCCAGGTTTAACTGACGTCCTTTAGAAAGTTCAACGAAGCTCAGCGTAAGTTAAAGCTTTTCACCTCAATCTCCAGCCAAAGACTGTCAATAAATGTTCTGTGCAAAAAATAAAGTTTCTGAAAAAACCCTTAAATCAGTTTGTTGATGGAAAATGACACGTGTTGTATTTCTCATGGAGAAGTGGGATAAAGTCAGAGTATAGCGAAAACATTAGTGGGAATAAGGCACGGTATCGTAAGTCGTTTAAAATGACAGAAAAGTCACAAACGATCCAGTATGCCTTTGGGACCGAGACACACACCGGTTAACTCTTTAATAATCAAGAGGAAGCACCTCACGGTGAAACCAGTCAGCAGCTTTTTGTATGTGAACACCAAAGAGAAAGGAGGGCGATGAAACGTTTGAAGTCTTTAATTCTCAGAGTTCAGCTCTGAGACCTACTCTTTATATACAACACGTTCTGCAGAGCTCCAGCTCCAGGTTCTAAAGTCAAAGTCTTAGAGCGGCGTTGTGTTCAGGGACCGATCTGCTCCTCTATCTCCTCGCAGACCGTGTCGCCGACAGCCACCACCGTCTCTTCCTGTTTGTAGGCGAGCGCCGGCATCATGTCGTCGTCAAACAGGATGTGCGGTTCCTCCTCCTCCTCAGCTGCCCCCCCCCCCTCTCCATGCATGCGCTTCCTGTGCTGCTGCAGGTTCCCGCTGCGGTTGAACCTGGCGCCGCAGCGCTCGCAGCCGTGCGGCCGCTCCCCCGTGTGGATGATGACGTGACGCTGCAGCTGCGAGCGGCACTTCTTGTCTTTCCCGCAGATGTGGCAGACGAAGGACTGCGCGGGCCGCTCTCCGTTGGCGTGGACGACCTCTCGGTGGCGCTTCAGGTGTCCGAGGCGCCGGAAGCTTCGGCTGCAGAAGTCGCATCCGTACGGCCGCTGGTCGCTGTGGATCAGAGCGTGGCTCGACAGCAACGAGCGGAACTTGAACACCTTTCCACAGATGGAACACGGGAACTCTTTGGATGGCGCGGCGCTCCTCCTGCGGTTGGGATTCTGCGCCCCGTTGCTTCGGAGGTGAACGCGGTCGTGATGCTGCTTCAGGGATGCGGCGCGGTGGAAGCTGCGCGGACAGAGGACACATCGGTGCGGCCGCTCCGCAGAATGAATGCGGCCGTGCGCGGCGAGAAGCGCCTCTGACTTCAGGCGCTTCCCGCAGACGCTGCAGGGGAACGGGGCGTCAGGCGGCGCGCGGTCCATCGTGGTGTTGCTGTGCACCAGGATCTTGTGGCGGTTCAGCTGATACTGGCGTCCGAATTTACGCCCGCAGATGTCGCAGAGGTGCGGCCGCTCGCCCGTGTGAACCTGGAAATGCACGGCGAGCTGCGAGCGGCACGGGAACTCTTTACCGCAGAAGTCGCAGAGCAACGAGCTAACCGGCGGCGCTTTCTCGCCACCGTCAGCGTCCACGTGCACGATCTTCTTGTGGTGCTCCAGATCGTTGGCTCTCATGTACGTTTTGGGACACATATCGCAGCGGAACGGTTTCACCCCCGAATGGATGACTTCGTGCGTTTTGAGGCGTGATCGGCAGCTGAAGGTCTTCCCGCAGGCGGAGCACAGCCACGCGGGCGCCGGGCGATGTTTCTGGCGATGTTTCGCTCCTTCGGGATGCAGGCGCGTCAGGTGGTGCTGCAGGTTGTCTCTGCGGTTGAAGCGCAGCTCACACAGGTGGCAGGCGAAGGGTTTCTGACCCGTGTGGATGAAGGAGTGGCGCGCCAGGCTCGCCTTGTTCTTCATCACTTTGCCACACACCTCACACATGGTGCTGCCCGGCTCCAGCTTCACCGGGCGCAGAGGTGCATGCTGGGAGTCGGAGTCCAGTTGGGGAGGCGAGGCAGGGGGGGGAGAGTCATCTGAAGAGGGGGGAGAGGAAGGAGTTAATGAAATGAAATAAAAGTAAATGATCAAATATTCTTATAAACAAACATAAATACTATTAAACTACTATTTTCGAAACATTACAGAAAAAATAGATCCTACAAAAAATATAAAAGTCTTTTAGATTTTAGAAAATATAAAAAAATATATTAAAAATGGATTTAATATAAAGAATACATAAATATATATATAATAAAATAATATGTCTCGGTCTGATGATGATTGAAGTCTCACCTCCTTCAGCAGGAGTCCAGATGGGGTCACCTTCCTCCTCCTCCTCCTCTTCCTCTTCCTCTTCCTCCTCGGGGGGGTCAGTGACAGCCGACACCCTGCGGCGCCCTCGTTGCACCGGACTCTGTTTTGTGGTCTTCTTCCTCAGGGGGGGTGCCCTCCTCTTCAGGGGAGGGGGGGGGCTCCTCCTGCGGGGGGGCTTGATGGTTCTGGTTCTGGTCCGGTTGGTGCAGTGCTGCAGCAGAACCCCGTCAGAACCATCTGACCTCACTGCGAAACACTGCAGCAGAACCTCAGAGGAGCCTGAGAGAGAACAGAGGTTTATTATAAACACAAATATACACCTGAACATCAGCTGGAGAGGACTCTTTAAAGTAGAGACACTACATACTGATATACACCTGAACATCAGCAGGAGAGGACTCTTTAAAGTAGAGACACTACATACTGATATACACCTGAACATCAGCTGGAGAGGACTCTTTAAAGTAGAGACACTACATACTGATATACACCAGAACATCAGCTGGAGAGGACTCTTTAAAGTAGAGACGCTACATACTGATATACACCAGAACATCAGCTGGAGAGGACTCTTTAAAGTAGAGACACTACATACTGATATACACCTGAACATCAGCTGGAGAGGACTCTTTAAAGTAGAGACACTACATACTGATATACACCTGAGCATCAGCTGGAGAGGACTCTTTAAAGTAGAGACACTACATACTGATATACACCAGAACATCAACAGGAGAGGACTCTTTAAAGTAGAGACGCTACATACTGATATACACCAGAACATCAGCTGGAGAGGACTCTTTAAAGTAGAGACACTACACACTGATATACACCAGAACATCAACAGGAGAGGACTCTTTAAAGTAGAGACGCTACATACTGATATACACCTGAACATCAACAGGAGAGGACTCTTTAAAGTAGAGACACTACATACTGATATACACCAGAACATCAACAGGAGAGGACTCTTTAAAGTAGAGACGCTACATACTGATATACACCTGAACATCAGCTGGAGAGGACTCTTTAAAGTAGAGACACTACATACTGATATACACCAGAACATCAACAGGAGAGGACTCTTTAAAGTAGAGACGCTACATACTGATATACATCAGCTGGAGAGGACTCTTTAAAGTAGAGACACTACATACTGATATACACCTGAACATCAGCTGGAGAGGACTCTTTAAAGTAGAGACACTACATACTGATATACACCTGAACATCAGCTGGAGAGGACTCTTTAAAGTAGAGACACTACATACTGATATATACCTGAACATCAGCAGGAGAGGACTCTTTAAAGTAGAGACGCTACATACTGATATACACCTGAACATCAGCAGGAGAGGACTCTTTAAAGTAGAGACACTACATACTGATATACACCTGAACATCAGCAGGAGAGGACTCTTAAAGTAGAGACACTACATACTGATATACACCTGAACATCAGCAGGAGAGGACTCTTTAAAGTAGAGAACACTACATACTGATATACACCTGAACATCAGCAGGAGAGGACTCTTTAAAGTAGAGACACTACATACTGATATACACCTGAAACATCAGCAGAGAGGACTCTTTAAAGTAGAGACACCTACATACTGAGATACACCTGAACATCAACAGGAGAGGACTCTTTAAAGTAGAGACACTACATACTGATATACACTGAACATCAGCAGGAGAGGACTCTTTTAAAGTAGAGACACTACCATACTGAGATACAATCCCTGAACATCAGCAGGAGAGGACTCTTTAAAGTAGAGACACTACACATACTGATATACACCTGAACATCAGCAGGAGAGGACTCTTTAAAGTAGAGACACTACATACTGATATACATCTGAACATCAGCAGAGAGGACTCTTTAAAGTAGAGGACACTACATACTGATACTACACCTGAACATCAACAGGAGAGGACTCTTTAAAGTAAGGAGACACTACATACTGATATACACCTGAACATCAGCAGGAGAGGACTCTTTAAAGTAGAGACAACTACATACTGATATACACCTGAACATCAGCAGGAGAGGACTCTTAAAGTAGAGACAGTACATACTGATATACACCTGAACATCAGCAGGAGAGGGACTCTTAAAGTAGAGACACTACATACTGATATACACCTGAACATCAGCAGGAGAGGACTCTTAAAGTAGAGACGCTACATACTGATATACACCTGAAACATCAGCAGGAGAGGACTCTTTAAAGTAGAGACGCTACATACTGATATACACCTGAACATCAGCAGGAGAGGACTCTTTAAAGTAGAGACTCTACATACTGATATACACCTGAACATCAGCAGGAGAGGACTCTTTAAAGTAGAGACGCTACATACTGATATAGGCCTACACCTGAACAGCAGCAGGAAGGACTCTTTAAAGTAGAGACCTACATACTGATATACACCTAACATCGCAGAGAGGGACTCGTAAAAGTAGAGACGCTACATACTGATATACACCTGAACATCAGCAGGAGAGGACTCTTTAAAGTAGAGACCTACATACTGATATACAACTGAACATCAGCAGGAGAGGACTCTTTAAAGTAGAGACGCTACTACTGATATACACCTGAACACAGCAGAGAGGACTCTTTAAAGTAGAGACACTACATACTGATATACACCTGAACATCAGCAGGAGAGGACTCTTTAAAGTAGAAGACATTACATACGAGATACACCTGAACATCAGCAGGACGAGAGGCTCTTTAAAGTAGAGACACTACATACTGATATACACCTGAACATCAGCAGGAGAGGACTCTTTAAAAGTAGAGACACTACATACTGATATACACCTGAACATCAGCAGGAGAGGACTCGTTAAAGTAGAGACACTACATACTGATATACACCTGAACATCAGCAGGAGAGGACTCTTTAAAGTAGAGACACTACATACTGATATACACCTGAACATCAGCAGGAGAGGACTCTTTAAAGTAGAGACACTACATACTGATATACACCTGAACATCAGCAGGAGAGGACTCTTTAAAGTAGAGACACTACATACTGATATACACCTGAACATCAGCAGGAGAGGACTCTTTAAAGTAGAGACACTACATACTGATATACACCTGAACATCATCAGGAGAGGACTCTTTAAAGTAGACACTACATACTGATATACACCTGAACATCAGCAGGAGAGGACTCTTTAAAGTAGAGACACTACATACTGATATATACACCTGAACATCAGCAGGAGAGGACTCTTTAAAGTAGAGACACTACATACTGATACACACCTGAACATCAGCAGGAGAGGACTCTTTAAAGTAGAGACACTACATACTGATATACACCTGAACATCAGCAGGAGAGGACTCTTTAAAGTAGAGACACTACATACTGATATACACCTGAACATCAGCAGGAGAGGACTCTTTAAAGTAGAGACACTACATACTGATATACACCTGAACATCAGCAGGAGAGGACTCTTTAAAGTAGAGACACTACATACTGATATACACCTGAACATCAGCAGGAGAGGACTCTTTAAAGTAGAGACACTACATACTGATATACACCTGAGCATCAGCAGGAGAGAACTCTTTAAAGTAGAGACACTACATACTGATATACACCTGAACATCAGCAGGAGAGGACTCTTTAAAGTAGAGACACTACATACTGATATACACCTGAACATCAGCAGGAGAGGACTCTTTAAAGTAGAGACACTACATACTGATGTGTCTCACCTGTGTGTCTCCAGCCCAGCTGTTGACTCAGCAGATCCACCTGGACAGCAGCGTCTCTCCGTTCTGCTGAGTCGCTCTGACAGCCCACTTCTTTCCTTGTCTCCTCTTTCCTCGTCTCCTCCTCTGGACTCTCCCATTGGCAGCCCACCTCCCTCCTTGTCTCCTCCCCCCTCAGCAGGAGCTCACAGAGCGGCTCTCCGGACGACATCTCTGCAGAAAACAGATATAAAATAAAATGTTTTCTAACGGTTTCTATGACAACAAGAAAGATGAAAATACAGATTAATAAAAGGACTTGAGTTTTGATCATTTATCAAGTTATTCAGAGAGTATATACTATAACCATTATAACCAAAGATAGATCTATTTTCGGTACATTACAGAAAGACACATATTCAGAAGAGTATTTACACAAAATACTCTCCATTTCAGATACCTAAAGGGACAGAGACATTAACATAGCAGTGTTTCCCCTATATACAAATAGCGTTTTTTTTATTATAA